ATTTGGATGTTTGCACTCTTTCTAATTCAGTGGCCACACACATGTTTTTTTGATATTGTCACAGTACAGAATGCTAGTTAACAAGATATTACTATATAAATTGTGGTTTTTTGTTGTTGTCTTTTCTTGTACTTTGCTGAGGTGGACATTGTAGGGGACCTTATTTTTTGCTACTGTTTTGTTACTATGAACTGATTACAAGGCTTTATAAGTTAAATTTCTGAGAATGTTAGTAAAAAGTTGTGATGGTTTATTAATAAAGATGTTTACACTTGTTTTTGAAAAGTTATATTTTTCAATTGAAGTATGTTTGGATATATTTTGTATGACATGTTCGTATTAGTGGTGTCACATGTTGGAAAAGTGTATGAATGTGTGGATATGCATTATATTACTCTATGTGTTAAAATCTGGTGAAGATGTTAGGTTAAAGATGTGATGTTTTATTTATTAAACCGTTCACACTTCTGATGTTTTGTTACCATGAACTGATTACTGGGTTCTGCATTTTCTGTTTTTTGAGTTGTTATTTTTGGATTCATTGGTTTGCTATCTTACTTTCCATTTGACAGCTTCATTTTTCATTTCATATTTCTAAAAAAACAACAATCACAAATTCTTTCAACATTTGTGTATTATGAATTGCATAGTACATCAACAAACCTTCCTAACATGTGTATCTATATTAAACTTCTTATTGCAATAAATAAGATACACTTCATTTTTTATTTCATATTTTTATAAAAATAACAACCACAAATTCTATGAACATCAATGTATTATGAATTGCATACCATACTAACATGTGTATTTACAGTTATACAACTAAAATTAACACAATGTGAATTTCCAGTTCTACAAATAAAATAAAAAACACTAATTTAATCAATTAAATTTTATATAAACAATCAATCTTTGTAAAACCTAAATACTAAAATAAATGCAATTGTGGATATAAATTTATTTCAAAAGCATAAGGAATATTTACCTATACATCACGAAGACTGTGGTAGGCCGTTTCACCAATGTCTGCTCCCCACCTGCAATATCTTCTTTGTTCATTGTTTTAGATACCGATTTCTTTTCCAATTTCTTCTTCGCTATAGTTTTTTCCGTCGCCATTATATTTCCCTAAATGCTTAAAACCCTCGCAAAATCACAGTATAAAACCCTCGCAAAATCACACGATTTCTTCTTTGACAAAATATGATACAACAATTACACCAACTGCTTATAAACAAACGAAAGGGAAAATGGACAAACGATAATACGATACCGCCTAGGAGAGAAAACGAGACAAACCAGATGACGAAGGGAGGATGAAGGAGGGAAGAAAAGGTCAACCAAGAACAAGATAACAGAAGTTGAGGAGGTAAAGTAAAAACTCAATGACCAAAGGGAAGTCGCCGCCGCCGCCGCCGCATGGTTCGGACGGAAAACCAGAGGATGACGAAGGAAGATGAACAAAAGCCTTGAAGAAGAAGAAGAAGAAGAATATGAAGAGAAGAGAAGAGAAGAAGTGAAGGTAAAAATTGTAATTTGGGCCCACGTAAAATTTTTTAGAGGGAAAACCAACGTAAGGAAGATGAACAGAAGCCTCGAAGAAGAAGAAGAAGAATACGAAGAGAAGAGAAGAAGTGAAAGTAAAAAGTGTAATTTGGGCCCATGTATAATTTTGGTATATTATATTCGTATATGGTACGTATGTATTTTGTCTGCAGTATTTATACATGGTAAAAAAAGTAAGGTTAAAAACTAAATGTTGACATGGTGCTTTGTCATCGCTGACAAGGAAATAACATGGCAAGATGGGCTATGTGTCTTCATCCTAGCCCTTTGATCTGCCATGGACACCCTCCAGTGAGAGGTGCCATGGAGAGGATTATAGCCCTTGCGTGGGTGGGTAGTAGCTTATTTTAACAAGAAATATTCCAAGAAAATGAATACTAGCTCCTTACCTTTTCAACAAGTTAAAAAAAAGTAAAAAGAAAAAGAAAAAGACAAACGATTACGTGAGAAACTTATCTTTGAATTTTATTTATTTATTTTTTCCAGGGCCAGCCTGGCCCAAGTCGCCTTGGGCCTCAAATTTTAGAGGGCCTCAAACTGGCCTCAAATTTTGAGGCCCATATGGGATGTAAACAAAAAAATTTAAGTATGGACAAGTCTTGGTCGCGTTGGGCCTCAAATTTTAGAGGCATCAAATTTTGAGGCCCATAGGGGATGAAAAAAAAAAAAAAGTTAGGGCAAGTTTCAGACGACACAATCTGCTTCGACACTCCGCAGGGCGCAGCCTCCGGTATCGCCTCAGGTGACAAGGTATGTTCATCCTCTCTTTCCTTTTGCATGAATTGATCTTTTATATATGTTTCTTTCTTTCGTTCATTTCATCATTTGATTTGTTCTAACTTTGGTTCGTTCGATTCGGGCCTTTACCTTTGTTCCAATAGTGAAAAGTAGCTTCCAAACTAGGGTTTTTTTTGTGTGTGTCACTGTATGTGATGGCTATCGCTATCAAAAGCTGAATGAATATATTATGGTTCTCTTAGTATTTTAATAAATGTGTGCCTTTCTACATGTGTCTTTCATGGCGATCGAGTCCATAATCTATGGCACGTACTTTTTTTTTTTTTTTTTTCCCTCTCCCTAATTCCACTCCAATCTCACAACAGCAGCAACCATACCCCTTTTCGGCATAACTTTTTGCATTTTCACATTCAATCCTACGAAAATTAAGGATCCCTTCTAGTGGGTTTAGCTTTTGAGGTAATAATTAACTTTTTCGATCTCTAAATTATGCTCATACTTAAAAGTGCTAAATTAAGGGTTTTTTTATATTTTATTTTTTTATGAAGATACATACCACCATTATTGATGTTATTTGAAGTTGGCTCAGCTAGACTTTCAGTTAATAATACTGTCAAAGTACTTGCCATCAGAATGTACAAACACATGGAAATTAAGAGCAGGCTTTAACAAAACAAAAGTTAATGGTTTTTCTATTAATTTGCACAGGTCTTCTGTAGCAATGATCAACCAATCACTGCTACTAAAGTTGATTCCTCATCTTGAAATCAAGAAAGGGGTAATTGGCTCCCAAAAAAAAAAAAAAAAAACAAACACAAAGTGTAGTATAGTTAATACAAACAGTGAAAGACAAAACTATATATGATAGTGGATGCCACATATAACCTAAAAGTCCCACTACTTCTTCAGTACTACAAGTTCAGCCTCTTATAATATATACAGTTACCTCATCTCCACATATTTTTGTCATCAGTAATCATCAAATTTTAGTAGCTATATAAACAGTGAATGTAAAAGAAGCTGCAGTTTTCTGTTCTCTAGAAAACTGTTCTCTTCATTTTTTATTTTGTGCCTGTGAAAATTTCGCACTCTTTAATTGATAGATTTATTGTTATTAGTTAGCTGTCTTATGCACACTACACATGCATACAATTATTTATTGGTGATGATAGATTTATAGTTCTTAGTTAGTTGTCTTATGCAAACTGCACAAGCACACAATTATTTATTGGTGGTGATAAAAATTTATAGTTATTAGTTAGTTGTTTTAAGCACATTGCACAGACGCACAATTATTTATTGGTGGTGATAGATTTATAATTATTAGTTGGTTGTCTTATGCACACTGTACAAGTGTACAATTATTTGTTGGTGGTGATAAATTTATAATTATTAGGTAGTTGTCTTATGCACAATGCTTAGGCGCACAATTATATTAGCTATAGAATTTGAAAACATCGGGTGAAAATTTCACACTCTTATAGTTTTGTTTTGCGCATGTGAAACTTAAGGGCCTCATATTTGAAAATTCACCTAGAGCCTCTCAAAATATTTGGAATCTCAGGACCGGCCCTGATTTTTTCCAAAGATTACCTGTCTTGAATTTTGTTGAAGAAGTTTGACTCCTTTTTATTTTTTTTAGATTGTCTTTACTCTTTAGAACTTGTTTTGGCGCGTATTTTTTTCTCTGTGTTTGTAGTCAGAACCCTCAATTCTTATCTTGGAACCGTTTTAAATATATATATATATATATATATATATATATATGGTTAAAAATATTCGAACGTATTATTTTTTATCTTTGCCGGTGCGTTGGTTTTCCTCAACTCTTTGACCGGTGAAAGCTACTTAATGTCACGAGCACTCAAATTTTGTTTTTAAAGATTCTCTTTACATAATAGTACTCAAATTTTTGCGAAACCAAAATTGACAGCTACTTGATTATTAGCCTTACATTGGTAGGTTGTCCTCTTATGCAAATGGGAAAATTCAGATTCAAATTATGTTTAGAGTGATGAATTTGAAAACTTCCAGAATCACATATTTAACAAACTGTGAACCACATCTTATATGATGAATTTGAAAACTTCCAGAATCACATGTTTAACAAACTGTGAACCACATCTTATACATGTGCTCTCATTTGAACCTGATTATATGTAAGAGCCATTTAGAGCTCTTATCAGATATAAAAATATGTGGTAACGGTCATCTTTAAATCTTAAATGAAAATTTTCCAATATATTTTTTTATGTGGATATATATATTTAGTCAGAACAATAGTTTTTATTTATTTATTAATTTAACCCTTTTTTTCCGGTAAATATTTGAACCTAGCCAAAAAATGCATATTTTATTGATTTGGTTATTGAAATTTTCCAACTTCTATACCCTGCTTTCCATAGTCAACCGTGTAGTTATCAAGTGTTTGAAGAAGAAAGCTAGATTCCAGGTTGAGTAAGTTGTTTTGTATTCATTTATTTATTTTTTTATATTCCCATATAAGAGAGGTTTGACATGTAACCAAATTTTTAAAGAAAAATGCTAGTATATTGTCCATAAAATATTTTATTTTTTTGAAAGATTAAGCAAAATTACACATTATGCCGACCTTTTCTTTGGAAATGAGAGTTTATACTTTGTACTAATTAGGCTATGGTCCATTTTAGTAAAAAAATCCAGCAGGCAAAATATCCATAAAATGTTGCTTAAATGCAAAGGAGGTTTTATTACAAGAACACAACTACAAGAGCTTAACAAAACCACACATTTATGTTTATCTAGTATCACATGTACTAGTACATGACTAGAAAGAATACGTGGTTGTGACAACAAGTAGAGGATATTTTTTGTGGACGGTCAAACTTGAGGTTTCAGTCATGTCCAAAACCTGGCCTCTTGCTTCACCAGGCTGTGCAAAATCAAACTTATACACAAGGTTTGCTAACGCAAGCTCATTCACAATCGCGGCGAATAGGATTGCCGGACAACCCCTCCTGCCAGCTCCGAATGGAATTAATTGGAAGTCATGCCCTTGAAAATCTATCGAAGTATTCAAGAACCTCTCTGGCCTAAAACTCTCAGCTTCTTCCCACAACAATGGGTCCTTGCCAATTGTTGAAGCGTTGATAATCACTTGTGTTCCAGCTGCAATGTCGTAGCCCATTACTTTGACATCTTTGGTTGATTCTCGGGGAACCAGCAATGGGATCGGTGGATGTAATCGCATAGACTCCTTCATCACTGCTTTCAAGTAGTGCATTTTTTCAAGGTCATCCTCGGCTATCTCCTGTTTACCTTTGGCTATTCCTCGCACCTCATTCTGGAGTTCCTTCATGACTTTCGGGTGTCTTAACAGCTCCGTCATTGCCCATTCTAGAGCTGTGTATGTAGTATCAGTTCCAGCAGCAAACACATCCTACAACAGGTAAAAAAAAAAACCAATAAAGTTTTTTTTTCGATCACAGGATATTCAGGGCTTTGTCTCAACTAAACCATATGACCCGTTTAAGTTTGAACTATGTACACCTTAGTGGCTCCAAAAAATTTGTTTGCACTTAGAAAGAATTGATCTTAAGACCTGATGCTCAATAAGACACAAGATCCCAAATTTTTTCAGTTAGACAAACAATAGCTTTGGGATTCAAATGAATAAAAGTTGCTCAAATCAATTTTTTTTTTTTTTTTTTTTTCATGCATTTAATTTTAAGGGGAGAGAGGTGGAATCAGACTTACCAAGATGACAGCTTTAATGCTATCTCTATGAAGAGAATAGTTATCCATGTCGTGTCTTTGAAATTCGAGCAAGACATCAACAAAGTCCTGTTGGTCTTTATCTTGATCAACTTTCCCACCTCCATTGTTCCTTCTTTTCTGACTATCCAAATGCTCTTCAACCACACCCTCCAGAAATTCATCGAGCTCTTTAGCCACTTTCTCAACTTTAGCATCCAAACCATTCACTCGATTTAGCCACGAAAGCCATGGAATATAGTCTCCCACACTGAAAGTACCCAATAACTCCAAAAACTCCCCCAACAACACCTTAAACTTTTTAGCACCTTCCCTTCCACTGTACTTCCTTCCCAAGGCTACGCGACACACTACATCATTTGTAAGCGAAAGAAACATTTCGCTCAAATTCACCGGTGAACAACACGAAGAAGAAGAAGAGCACTCTTCAATCTTCTTGATCATTAGGGCTGTTTCTTCTTCTCTGATAGCGCGAAAGGACTCAACCCTCTTGTTACTTAGAAGGTGTATCACACAAATGCTTTTCACCTGCCTCCAATACTCGCCATAAGGAGCGAACGCCACGTCCTTACTATAGAGAAGTTTACCAGCTATGCTCGATTTAGGCCGGTTTGAGAAGATGAGATCATAGGTTTTCATGATCTCGCGAGCTGCATCAGCGGAGGAGACGATGAGAACCGGCTTGCTGCCAAAGTGGAGCAGCATGAGGGGGCCATATCGTTGAGCTAATGACCGGAGGGAGCGGTGAGGGAACAAGCCAAGTTGGTGGAGGTTTCCGATGATCGGGAGCTTTGGTGGAGATGGTGGTTGATTTGCTGTCGTTTTTGTAGTGAACAACCGTAAGTAAAGGAAGAGCAAGGAGAAGAACAAGAGAAGAAGAGAGTAAAATAAAGGGTTCAATAAGAACAACATGGTGGTGTTACACAAAACCGAACCTTAATTAACTCTGTGTGATATTGTGCGTTTTCTACTTCAAGAGGACTATATAGGCATCTCTCTACAGGAACAAGGAAGCCTATATATATGTGTGTATATATATATATAGATATTTATATGGCTTAAATCACTGTAAGTATGCATTTGTCAAAAGAGGTTCACACATTTCATTAGAAAATCAAATACTATACGAACATGGAACTTTCGAGGTTATGCACGTAATGGATTAGACCAAAAAGAGACGTCTAAGTATTGAACAAAACAACAAAACATAGTTACAAGCTAGAAAGTACCAAATTTGAAGACCATCTCCATTACAGCTCTTAGCATTCGAGACAAATTAATGTACAAGCGGATTCATCATGCGAATGCTAGTGTTCCTAAAATTGGAAGGAACCGTATGTTGTTGCCAGATAGAAAGTGGTGCAAGGCATTATTGCGTCAGCCGTGAATTACTTGGTATAGTTTTTGAGTTGGCAAAAGTGCATGAAAAAAAAAAAAAAAAAAAAAAAAAATAGAACAATTACAAAGATGAGTACTACATTTTTTTTTTTTAAGCAAGTGAATACCTCAACGAGAAATTATTAGATAGTGCAGAATCACTCTCAATTAAGTATTTGATTACAATTTTTTTTAGAGTAGTTAATTTATAAATTCCCTCAAAATAAATTTATTTCAGTACTTTATCAATATTTACATCACATAATAATTTCTGGTATTTTTTTTGAGAATTATTTAAATTTATTTTAATTTTTTCATACTTAAAATATTTTAAAATTATTTTAAAATACTTTTGGTTTCAGATGGGCCAGGGTTGGCCCAATAAATTGGCCTTGGGTAATACTTCCCGTTGGCCATGGAACCCAATCAAGTTTTTAACAATCCAATTTCACTCCAATTCAATTTCCATAAGATTCGACTATGGCTACAAATGAACCCATATATATTATTATCATAGTAATTTTCCTAATTTCCATTTTTTTTTGGACAAATTAGGGGAGGGGACTCGTGTGCCCGCTCGAGAAGTCAAGGGGCTCTACCAACTACGCCAATTAATTTAATATAAATTTGTTATTATGTGGCGGATATATGTATAAAAAAAATTATGTATGAGAACTACATGTACACTGTCAATACTAATCACATGTTTTGAGGCGTAAGTATTTCATACATAATCGAATAGTCTAATCAGTGTATTTTCACGACTTCTAGCTCAAATCATCCATGTAATTGGCCTAAATATAATAAATTGAGATTAAAATATAGAAAAGATTTATTTGTCTGTTAATTTCTTAGTTTCATACCAAATCTTCGGTATTTTGTTAACATTTTATACTTAACATGACGTGTTCTGTTAAAGAAACATCTGGAACACGTTAAAGAGACGTGTAATATCTTCCCTACTCCAATTTACTCCAATTTTTTATTTTTATTTTTTTATTATTATTTTTATTTTTTTATTATTTTTTTATCACTACTCAATTTATACAATTGGGAGTATTTAGAATAATTTTAAATTTGTTTAAAACCATTAACCGCCTAAATACCTATATATATATATAATGCAAAAATAATGGTCACTACATAGGGATAAGGATCATCTCCAGGAAAGAAGAAGTCCTTGTCCCACTACAGGGTAGGTGTAGGTGAAGGACGTTGGTCTTTTTTACCAGGTATTAGTCAAATAGACAATAATTAACCATAATTTTTATTGAGACATTCTTTAATGTGAGTGTGGTTTAACGGGCCAGAGAGGGTACGTAGGCAATAAATAACCATAATTTCTACTAAGACTTCTTTAAATTAAGTGTGGTTTGGTGGGCCAGAGAGGGTAGTGCCATGAATAGGAATACTATCGAATGGAGGAATAAGTTGACACAGGTACAAAAAAATAAATAAAATAAATAAATAAAGAAGAAGAAGAAGAAGAAGTTTCAGTAACACAACATAGAAGAGGTAATCAATCCTGAGGAAATCTTCTATCCCTCCCCTCCCTCTCCTCCTCCTCCTCTACTCCGCCATCCTCCACCGTTTAAAGCTCCCTAAATCCATCACCCACCACCCCCTTTATGTCATCCTCCTCACATTATTCCACCACATAACCATGTGCTACTTTAGCAACGCGCAGGTACCAGTAAACAATTTCCCACCGCAAACCTCCACTGTACCCTTAGAAGAAGCCTCCCCCTCCCCCCACGCATCGGCTTGGAGCACGATATGATCTTGAATATGACATTATTGCTCACAAAAACGGTACACATCACCTCACCCCACTAGCAGACACTACAAGTCAACTGCATCATAGGCTAAAGGCACCATCAGTCACTGGGTTAACCATGGCTAAGGTTAAGGCCACTTTGCAGCAGGATAGGTTGTTCAATCCTTCTAACAAAGTCATTGAGGATGTTATTTACCTACCTGAGGGAATTGATGCCACTATCATGGATTCGACCAAATTCCAGCTCATTGAAGAAGTTGATAAGCTTCAAAGGCTTCTTAAGCAAAGAGATGATGAGTTACTTGTGGCACAGACTAAAATTGATCAGAGTATTTCTCTCAGAGGAAATTGCAGCTCTTAATTAGGAGCATTTTTTCAAGATATCTTCTTTTCTTGCTCCTCTTCTGTTGTAGGATTCTGCTCAGATGGGTAAAAAAAGGGCATTATTGCTTTTTAGTCCGCCACAGGGTGTTAATCACGCGCCTCCACACCCAAGTAGAGGTATTATTGGTACAAGAAAACTAGATTCAAATTCAATTTTTTCAAATTTTGGTGCTTTTCTTGTACTTGCCACTGCCATGAACCCAGAGCACCCTATTTAAGCCAATCAGTTATCTAATCAATCCAACAACTCCTCCTTCTCTTTCCACCTTAACCAGATTAACCAACTGGTTCCAACAGCTCAACTTAATTGAAGTAATCAAGTCAGAAGGGAACCAGACATCTCAGCAAACGACATTACTTTTGTTGGGGATGAACTAGCCTCTTCTCTGAATTCCATTCAAAAGGATGCACATTCCAAGAGTCATCATTCTCCCATCAATGCTGGTATGGATTGTGCAAAGAGTTTGTTTTCTACGGCCCAAGCTTCTGAGGATAAATGGGATTTGGAGTTCTTTGAGCCACTAACGAACAATGACAATGGTATCTTGCTTATTGATCCTCGGGATGAGGTTAGAGAGATTGGGGCTTCATAATGGCGGAGATTCCTCTTGGGGTTTTTCAGGAAGAAAATGCCTTCCAAACACATCGCTAAGCTTATTCATAAGCTTTGGGACACTTGGGGTCTGCAGAAGGTTGTGGTAAGTAAAGATGTCATATTTTTCTTCAAATTTGCTACTAAGGAAATGTGTAGGAAGGTCATGGCAGGAGGACAATGGTATTTTATAGGTACACCTATCTCTTTAAAGCTATGGCAGCCTAATTCACCACCCACTGATAATAATGATGCATTCAAGTGTCTTTATATATGGATCAAGCTGTTTAACGTGCCCCTTAATCTCGGGTCCCCAAAGGGTTTGAGCTACCTCACTAGTGCTATTGGGAGGCCAATGTTTGTAGACACAACTACACTGAACAAAGACAGAATTGATTATGGAATGATTTGTGTTGAGATTAATTAACATCTACCTTGCCTAGTACCTTCCAAGTTAAAACTACAGGGAATAAAAATGATATAATTAAGGCTCATTATCTATGGCTACCTCTATGCTGTACTACTTACTCCTCTTTTGGTCATTCCACTGATAAGTATGAAATGAGAGACACTAGTTCTGGCGGGGAATGTCAACATTCTCCCAGTAATCACTAAACCCAAGAGTGGCACATGGTTACTAGAAAGAAGAAAAAGAATGTCCATGTTAGCTCAACCTATTATCCTATTCCCAATCCTTTTCCCTCTACCAAGCTAGGATGTGAGCAAATACAATCTTCCAAACCAACTACTGGTACTACCCAAAGCATGAAAGAACCCACTTCAATATCATCATCCCCAACCCAAATAACATCCCCACCATCTAACACCAATGCCCATTCATCCATACAGCTCAACCCAGTTACTCAAGGCCATACACCACCCACATTGCCCTGCTCAACCAAAAACACATCATCTCCTCAGGCAAAAAAAGAAGGCTTTCACACTGGTGGTGGATTTTTCTCCTCACATGAAGTTATCAGCTCCTAGAAGTCTTCCTCTACATGGTATAACATCCAATGCTCATACCATATCTCTTCCTCCTCTCCTACCCCCTACCATTACTATATCATACCCTATTACTTTTGATGTTGCTGATCAAACCCTTGAGGGGAATGATTACTCAAATAGTCTAGATCCTTCTTCTGATGAGGATGATGTCTCAATCTCAAATCAAAGTTCACATGATCCTTCATCCTCACATATCCTAAACAAATCTAGTAAACCAAGAAAGCCAGTTCATAGTAAACACTTTAAGGTTGACAAATGGTTCAAGAATGGGAAAGCTAAGATGATTAGTGCTGCTACGTACCCTTAAAGGGTTTAAAAGTTTGTGCAGTCTTACCTCATCATCCTCTTAATAAATTGGGCTGCATGGAATATTAGGTGGCTAAACTTTCCCCCAAAATAAGTAGAAGTTAGGAATCTCATTAGGGATTCAGATTTGAGTCTTGTGACTCTGTTGGAAACAAAAGTTTGTTGTGATAATGTTTATCATATACATAGGGTTATTGCACTAACCTGGAATGTGAGATGTAATTACTCATCCTCTGATATGGGTAGGGTTTAGATCCTTTGAGAACCCCCTACAGGTGTCTCTAATGTCTTTTTCTGAAATTTGTCAAGCCATTCATTGCACAGTTTGGCTCATTGATCTTAGGGTCAAATGTTTAGCTTTTTTTATATGTACTACTAATATTAATGTGGAAAGAACACCACTTTGGAAAAGTTTGAATGAACAAAGTTGCTCTGATTTACCTTGAATTCTCATGGGTGATTTTAATGTGCTCTTGCATGTTAGTGAATCATTTGGGAATGCACTAAGATGGACCTCTAGTATACATGATTTCAAGACCTGTCTACATAGAATTGGGCTTGGGGACATGAGGTTCTCAGGCATATACTTCATATGGTCAAATAACATCTTAGGTTGTGCTAATGTGTCTGGGAAGCTTGATAGAGTGCTTATTAATTAAGCATGGATGAATAAGTTCCCTCAAGCTGAATGTT